ATAAGCAGAGATCTGACTTTAGCTAAGCTGATACATTGTCCTAGGACTCTTAGATTTCAAGTGAGCTTTTAAAAATAAATTGCTTTTTTTTCTACAATTTTGTGGCTAATGCCAACACCTTAACAATAGGATTCTAGGATAGTCATGGAATGAAACACATTAAATAGTTGTGTTTCATCCCAGAAATAGATAAATAGAACTGTTGAAATTAAATTATTTTGCACAAGATCATTTGGGACTGTGGTACACAATTCTGTCCATAGAAGCTTAGTTCTGGATGCCTTTCAGGTTCGTTAGCCTTCTTCTCCCATGATCCCTAGCCATTGTGCTGCGAGGCAGGGATTATGGGGTAGAAATCTAGCACAGAAGGCATCAAGCTGGCTCTGTTTAAGCAGTGAAGCAGAGTCAGTGCCAGACCTATCTTACGTGCATGTAAAAGGACCAAGCTCATTCAGTCTGCTAAATAGATCATTGTTGGCCTTTTGATGACTTGCAGTAACAGCCAACCCTGCTTTAAATGCTTGCATGTTGTTGAGTCATTGTTCTCCTTCTCTGATTTGACGTACTTTGTTTTTCCCCTCCTAAATGCAGGGCTTCAGATAACAGGGAGCGTGCTTATGAGCCTAGTGCCTATGGACACCATGAACGGGGGACAGGAGGATTTGATCGCACGAGGCATTACGACCAGGATTATTACCGGGATCCTCGGGAACGGACTTTGCAACACGGACTCTATTACAGTTCTCGGAGTCGCAGCCTGAGCCGCTTTGATGTTCATGGCCATCATTACGAACCTCGGGCTCGGGAGCAGTTTACGTTGCCCAGCGTGGTACACAGGGATATCTACCGGGATGACCTCACCAGGGAGGTCCGAGGTAGAAGGCCGGAAAGGAGTTACCAGCACAGCAGGAGCCGGTCCCCCCATTCCTCCCAGTCCAGGACACAGTCTCCCCAGAGGCTGGCGAGCCAAGCATCCAGATCCACTCGATCGCCCAGCGGAAGCGGTTCTAGGAGCCGGTCTTCGAGCAGCGATCCAATCAGAAGCAGCAGCAATACCAGCAGGGACAGGTATCATCCCCCCTCTGCAGGCGTGGGGTGTCTTTTGCTTTGAGTCCCGGTATTGATCCCGGAAGATTGATTGGGGATAGAGCTTTCTGCATTTTCATTCAGCACCGGCTTAACTGCCTGGACTATCCCTCTTTCTTCTTTATTAACGGCATCTTTTGTTTATGGCCTTGAGTTGAGGTTGACTCAGCCTTCCATCCTTCCCAGGTCAGTCAAATGAGGATCCCAATTGTTGGGGGCAAGAGGCTGACTGTAAACCACTTAAAGAAGGCTGTGAATCACTGTGAAGTGGTATATGTCTCAGTGCTATTGCTATTAAAGTGGAAGATTTATTTCCCTTCACCGAAGAGTTAAAAAAGAGATTTCGGATTATGATTTGCCCTAAAATCCTTTCCCACTTGTACCCTACCCCTTCGTGCTTCCTTGAAGGTGACGCATAGCAATATATGGGATTGGAGAAGAAGCCGAGCCTGATGTCTTGCTTGTCTCTTTGGAACCTCGGCATAATTGTTCTAACTGCGTTTCTCATGGTCTCATTTTTGGTTTTGTTTTTTTTGCCTGTAGCAGCGACTCTAGTGACGAGTCCTCAGCCCGTTCGGTTCAGTCGACGGCTGTTCCAGCCCCCACCTCCCAATTGCTTCCACCTCTGGAGAAAGATGAACCCCGTAAAAGTTTTGGGATTAAGGTCCAGAATCTTCCTGTGCGTTCTACAGGTAAGTCCCACGCAGCCTCCCTGCACCGCAGAGGCCACTCCACCCAGCCATGCCGAGGCTGACGAGAACACTCTGCCAGAACATGTAAAGCCAGTTGAAGCAGACACGACCTCTTTATAA